GTTGGGCTGTGTTTTTACGTTCAAGAAATGCTACTATGCCACGCATATTCTTATTCAGAGCAGGGGTGTTGCTTCTTACTACACTATGCATTTGTACTTACTGGTTATTTTATGTTGTTCAGGTATATAATCTTGTTAAATATTTTTAAATATCTTTCATTAATATAATATTTGTATAATATCATCATGAATTATAGATCACTGAGAGTGCTAAGACTGCTGCTAGTGGTGAAATAACAGAGTACAAAAATTTAGTAAATTATGCGGGTACTCTTGCAGATACTCTACTGTTCATTCATTATATTGCTATCTTATTAATTGAAATTCGCCATCAACAGCCTATATTTTATCTTAAAGTAAGTGTATTTAAATTTTATATACTTTACTATAACTTTTTTTATTTTTTGTTGTACTGAGATTAATGTTGCTGTTGAAGGTTGTAAGGTCACCAGATGGTGAATCACGATCTTATGCAATTGGACAATTATCAATACAACGTGCAGCAGTATGGGTATTGGAAAGGTATTATACAGAATTTCCTATTTACAATCCATACCTGGAAAGACTTCCAGTATCAAAATCTGGTAGAAAACAATCAAGTTTCAAATTTTATGATGTTGATGGTGGAGTAACTAGTAGTGTTCAGTCACGTGGAGGTAGCGGTGATAGAGCAGTTATAACAACTCAAACTCGTCGCAGAGATTCCAGCCATAATGAACGTTTTTACGAAGAACATGATTATGAACGTAGGGTACGAAAGCGTAGAGCGAGATTAATCACTGCTGCTGAAGAAGCATTTGCACATATTAAACGTTTACATTCAGAAGTTGAATCTACTCCGAATCCTGGACCTATGGATCCTATGGAAGCTGCACAAGCAGTATTTCCATCTATGGCAAGGGCCTTGCAGAAGTACTTAAGGGTTACACGACAACAACCACGTCATTCTGTTGAGTCTATTCTAAATCGACTTGCCCGATGTTTGGCTCAAGACGCAGCACCACGTGCATTTTTAGAACCATTTTTTGTAACCAGTCCTGTTCTTTCAAATGAAAAAGAACGGCAAAAGCGATCACATCATTGGGCTTTAGTCTGCGAGGGAGAATTACCTTCACGACCTCTTGCTAATGGCTGCGAGTTTCAGTTGAGACAAGGTGAAGTAGCCCTCTTATGTACAGCATATCATTTACCCCATTTTCATCTTACAGAACAGCTCGCACATCCTAAATCTAATAAATTCTTACTAAGATTAAATTCCGAAACGTCGGTCTAGAAACATTACCAAGTCAATAGCTTTTTTCGGTTTGAAATAATTTACAGTCAGATACTCGTATTTTTAACGAATACAAAATTTATTAAAATTCAATAGTTTTTTACTGTATATAACTGAAGAAAGATCACAGTAGTACATTTGTAAGTATTGTGAATTAAATACAATTGTAGAAAATAAATTATATTGAAGCATGAAGAATATAATAGACTTAAAAATAATGAAGTTTTTTAAAATATATTTTGTAAGGGATAAAAGTTTTGCAAAAGATAAAATAGTTTTTTATGCAGGATCATAAAAGGTGTTCATCTCAATATTTTGTTTTCTTTCTACTGTGTATAATTGAAACATGACAAGACAATATAACTGTCTCACACACAACTGTAGATAAAAAGAACTCCAATTTTTATAATATGAACGCACATGTATTTATTTGTTCCATTATTTTACTTATTATTACACATATATTAGTTAAATAAGGTTATAA